CTCAAATTTCAAGTATAAATTAAATTTGAGGTTAGATTAATTTTTTATTTTACGTGGTGAATTAAATTTATGTGTAAGAATTTATGATAAAAATTATATTATAATGGTACATAAATTCCTTTAGATATATGTACATATGTTAGTATGTATATGCATTGGTTGGGTCACAAAAATATTTTCTTAAAAAACTTGATTGAATAACATTTTCGTTACGTCATTTTAATTCGTTTTGAGTTATGCTTCTTGATTTTATTATTTTTACTTTATTTACACATGTGTGTATGCATTTTCGGAAATTACAATTAAAAATTCTTATACTCCCACAATATAGATTTTAAATTAAATATCAAAAAATAAAAATATATTTTTCCTGACATAAAAATGCAGTGCAAGAAAAAAATGATAATGGTAAATTTAAAATAAAATGTAGTCACAGATCCAAAGTGTAAAATTTTTCTATGTAGTTCTGGAAGAACAGAGAAAGAGAGGATACAACCAAAAACGGTTAATTTACTTTTATTGTGAATAAGTACTGAATTGTATAGCTATAATAAACCAAGTTGACGTGAGATTTGCTCTTTGATAGAGATGTCCTGCAGATTGTATAGAATTTGAAATTCTACCATAATAGGTAAGGTGGTCATAAAGTTAGAGCTCTTGCGATTTGTTATTTTACATACATATCTAATATATTAATATTTCAATGATTATTATGTTGAAAAATTGACTCAATTTATGTAGCAATTAGACACTTTGGCGCAATTTTAATTGCTATTTTGATTAGCTTTATTTGTAAACATACTAAAATCGGTAACTTTACTTATGAAAGTCAACAAATTTTCTGTTATAATTAAAATATTTGATTATTAAATATGCAACCGCACATATTATGTACATAAATATACATATACGACATAGAACTGGTAATAAAGTAACGTAAACACATTTTTGACTTTAAAGTGAGCACATTGAAAAAATCAAATACTAAATTTGAACAATACAGCAACACTTTTTTATTTGACTGCCAAAAATGAACATAAAGGCAACATGAAATATACAAGTTAAATAAAGGTACATACCTTTTCAAATTTTTATACATATTTTGGTTGAATGTGTATCCAACCTTCACAATAAAATACAAAAGCAATACACGTAAACACATGAAAAAAAACGCAACAAAAAGTAACAAAAAAAAAAATTCCCAAAACTTTTCACTTAAAGAACAATTGGAGACACAAAGGCACCACCATATCTTATAACATTGAATTTTATATACAAACATGCATACATAATGTTAATGGTAACATAATAAAGAGATTATTATAATGGTATTTTAAAGAACTTTTATTCAAAATATAAAAATATTTTTTTTTTTAAAATGAAAACGAAAAAAAATAAATAAAAGTAAAACCGAAAAATGTGATGAAAATTTGGAAAAAAGTATAAAAATTAACTGATTAAGTGTTATACGAATTGGATGCACATTTATAGCATCACACACAAACATGTTATGTATATGGATAGGCGGGCATGTTTATATAGAAAATACAAAATATCATGTTGCAGGGTACGTCAATTCATAAAAATTTACACAAACATACACACATTACATATGTAAATATCAATTTGGCTGGAATAATTTATTTTGAACTGAATTAAAAAAAAAATTTCATTAATAAATGTTGAAATGAATTTATCAGACCACGAGTAAGGTATGAGAACAGACGGATTAAAAGAATTTTTATACAATAAGAATACAATTTCAAAAAAATGTTGTGTTGGTTGTTGGATTCGAACTTAAATTATCTAAACCCATCTAACTTAGGGCTCAGACAGACATGCAATTTTTATTTTTGTAAATTATTGCTTGATTGTAAAATTGTTGTTCGCACATCTAAGCAGTTAATCTTCAAATCGATTATGTTAACTATAATGTTTAATTGCATGCGATGATACAGTTGCATATGTCCGCGTTCGAATATAAAACCTATGCGATACAAATAAGCAAAAAAATTAGAAATAGTATGTCTGCCCGAGTCCTTAGATTCTATTGAATACAGAAGATAATTAAGTAAATAACGTAAGTTCATATTTAATGCCAACATGATTTATTTGACACATAATATTGAATTGCCAAATATGTCAAGTTGACACTAAATCCGTAAATCTAAATGCTTATATAAATATGAATCAAATTTGCAAAATGCTAACTCATTAAGAGAAATTTTACATTTTTTTGTGAAGTTTAAAACTTGTAGATCAATAAGCTGCAAAATCAAAAACAAACCTAATATTTTTACATACATATAGTAAAATATATGCTAATACTTGTAAGATAGGGCTATCGTTCTGCAGCGTTTTTAATACGTAATATTTTGAAAATTGTGACAAAATATAATTGTATTTATTACAATTTTCATTACTTGTACAATAAATAATTAATTTTCACTATATAACTTTGCATATATAATTTTACATATATTATATAAAATTTATTTAGTAAATTGTAACTGGAAAAAATTTTGCAAAATAAGTTTTGATGACATTTTAGCTCTTAATATTACATTTTTTATTTATTTGTTACAATAATTAATTTCTTGTTTATTGACATGTGGAGGAAGACTAACAATATAGAATTTAGAGAGAGAGAGAAAGAAAAAAAAGAGCTTTATTCTGTGATAATTTGATTAATCTATTTGCGTAATTTAAGTGGGTTTTTAAATTTATTCTTTTTGTATAATTAAATTCTTACTTTTTCCTCGTTTTGAATTAAAATTCAAAAATTAAGTTGTTCCCAAACTTTATAAAATCACTGAATTTTAAGAAAACCTGCAATTTTATGGATATCGAAATCACAAAAACGCTGTACCGATACACAATTTAGCAATTAGCATCTATAAGCTGAATAGTATATTCAAATAATATTTATTCTATTCTAGAAATTGGAATTCTATTCTATTCTAGAATTCTCAAGGGCTCACTTTTCTGTTACGATAAATCGTTGTAAGCTTTACATTATTTTTACTTGGATGTTTCGTTATTTGGCCATTGAATAATTACCAATCAAAGGTTTTATACAATTGATTATATTTTTTTATTATTTTCTTATACTTTCATTACATTCAATTTATACTTTACAATTTCGTAATTATACTTATGTACATACTTTCATACTAGTAAAGTATGTGTTAGTTTCATTTGAATCAATTACATATACCTATACTATATCTAATTAAGAGCAAAATAAGAATAAAAATTCTATCAGACAATATCAAAATTTTAAATATGCACATAAAAAACTATTTAAATTAAATTATAAATTCAGTATAAATAAAAAATATTGACGACCTATTTTAAAATAAAAGTAAAGTGCAAATAACAGCAACTTTGACATTTTATAGACATTTACCCACCTACATAAGTATATGCACATACATATGCAATTATATAATAATATTTTTATTGAATTTATGAGTATAAGTGTTAAGATATCCAAATTTATTACGATTTTCAAAAAATATTTTAGCTAGAATGGCTATATACATAGATCCTCAAAAATAATAAATAGATTTCTTAAAAAATTCAATTTAAAAATTTTTTATAGTTAATTAATTATAAGGTTTATATGATTATTTATCAAAATTGTTTTTAAAATAAAAAATTTCTTGAAAATTTTCATGATAATTTATTAAAATTTAAATAATTTAAAATATATTTATAATAATTTGAAACAACATTGTAATAAAATTAATAATTGTTAAATAATTCAAAATATTTTTCTGTTTAATTAGAAAAAGAATGTCTAACATAAATTTGATTTGTTTAATAATAAATTTAATTTGCTGAATACAAATTAAATTCAATTTAGGTATACTTAAGACCTAATACAATTTTTGTTTCAAAACAGGATCCCTATGTTATCAGATTTGCATTAAAAATTGTGTCACGATACAATTCAGCAATTAATACTTATAAGCTGAATAGGGTTCTAATAAAGTATCGTTGCGATTTCTGTATCGGGAAATTAAAGAATAGGTAAATATACAACTCCCAATATACTAAATATCGTAAAATTTCTGACTTCAAAATTGTTGTTATATTGTATTAACAAAGATTTCAGATTATGAGCTATAAATTGCTGCGCTAAACTAAATTTCCTTTAATTTTGATCTAAATTTAAAAAAAATTGAAAATTTAAAAATTTAATGGTAACACACAATCCCACAATCCAATATTTATTATCTATTATTATTCTACATATTATATAAAAGTGAAACCTAAAATTTTATGGGACTCCTTACTAATAAATCCCCCATCCGATTACCATGAAAATTTGGGAAGTAGTTTATAACGATCTCGAAATGGTTTTAAAAATTTTTTTTTTAAAACTTGTCTGTTCGAAGATAATAGTAAATTTTTCCAGCTCTTTTAAGTTCTATTATACAAAAACTAAAAAATGGCCAAATGTGGTCGAACAAATTACGGTTAGAAATCTCTTAGGTCTTGAAAAGTTAAATCAGAAATAAATACTTATGTTAAATATAGCTTTATTCAAAGCACAAATTTTATGTATTTAATATTTAATAGAAGTTTAAAACAAAATTTTATCCACTACATAGAAGTCGACTACATGATCATGGAAACAGGTCTAAAGATCACCAGAAATCTTAAACATAAACTATATATTTAGTCTAATCGTTTGATCGAGAAGTCTAATCGAGAAGTTTGTCTAAGATCGCAGCCAGGCGCAATAGATAAGCTTTATAAATTTGTTATTATAAACAAAAAATTATAAAATTTTAAGGAACCCTTTCATTATTTTTAATTTTCCTTTTCATAAAACCAAACTATTTCTTATTTAATCTTGTATTTAATTATATTTTGTCATTTAAAAATTATTGTATAAAATACAACATAGAGGTGAAAATAAAAATAATATTATTTATAAATTTACAGTACTATTAATTATAAAAATAAAAAAAAAAATATTAAAAACTTACCAGCTGGTCGATTATTTCTACGTGCAGCACCGTCATCTTCGACAAGAAGTGGTGAATGACGTCTTGTTTCAACATTTTTAATTAAAATTAATGTTGTAAATATTGTTGTAAATTTTATTAATAAATATAATTTGGAAATATACGGTGACATTTTTTTTTTCTTTTTTTTTTTTTTTTGGAATTTGAAATTCGTAAAAAAAATATATGTGTATATGTATATATGTAATAATTTAAATGACTTAGAATTTTTTTTTTTTATTTTATTTTATAAAATTTAAAATAAAGTTTTTATTATTATTATTTTTTTTTTTTGTTTTAATTCTAATATTTTTGTACTAAATTTATAAATTTTTCTTAAGTTTTTCACTGTTATTACACAATTATATTTTATGATTTTTTTTTTTTTTTTTTTGTAAATTAATACCGTTTTGTTTTTGTTTTAATTTTTTTTTTCAAATATGAAAATAAAAAAATAAAAAAAAATAAAATTATAAATGAATGTAAAAATTGTTGGGAATATTGTAATAATAAACAAATAAAATAGAAAATAATAAAAAAAAAAAAAATTTGAGTAAAAATTAAAAAAATTTTTTTTTTCAATCACTTTTGTAAGAAAAATTTTTTTTTCTATTTTAAAATTATTTTTTTATTGTATTTCATTTAATTTTTAATAAAATTTTTCTTAATTTTTTTTTAGCACCACATATCAATTTTAATTTTATAAATATTTTTATGTATGTATGTATTTAATATAGAAATTTTTTTAACGTTACAACAAAAATAGAGTTGCAAACTTAATTTTTCTATTAAAAAATGTTTTTTTTTCCCGTTCTTTTTCTTTTTTTTTACGTAAAATACCAAAGAAATGTGATTTTATTTTATTCTTTTACTTAGGAAAAAAAAAAAATAAGTGTTACATATTTTTATTACGTAGGTATGTGCATAATAATATTATGGCAAATTGTACGTTATTATGCATGTGTGTGCATAATAAAATATAAAATTAATTTCAATTTTTTTTTTTTTTGATAAAAAATTTTTCTATATATACATTTTTTTTTTTTTGCACTAAAATATTTTGAGTTTGTATATTTTTTTTTTTCTCTAATATCTCGTAAACTAAAATAAATAATGAAAAAGAAAAATTAATGAAATGTACAGAAAAATAAAAAAAAAAAAAAGGAAAAAAAATTTACGTCTGCTCCCGGGATCGGTCGTTTTTCAAATAAATTGTATCATGTATGTATAGAGATAATCCGAGAAAAAAATTTTTTTTTTTTATATTTTTATTTATTTTGTTTTTATTTTTTATCCAAATGTGCGATTTTAACACACATGTACAAAACTATAATATTTTTTTAGTATTTATATTTAAGAAAATGTTATACGACAGAACTAAAAAAAAAAATTTTTTTTTTTATTTTTTCTACATCATTGTATAAAAAACAGTTTTTGTGTGTTTGTTTTTTTATTTTTTTTTTTTTGAATAGAATGAAAATTCTATTTCTCTTCTCTGTACTCACTCTACTACTATTCACAGTACTCACTGTACTTAACACTAAGTTTGTATTATTTGAGTATTTTTAATATTATAAAAAATAATATAGAATATTTTTATTTTCTTGATTTTATTCATATATATATATACAATATATATAAGTAGATAAATATATACATATAGTATATATACACCACCTTATTTATATTTATACAAATATAAATATTAATTTATTTCTGTTATTTTTCTTTTTCTTTTTGTGCAAAAAATTTATTTTTAAAGCTCTAAACAGTTTGACGATATCTTACAGATTGAAAATATCTTAACCGTGCTCTATCTGTTTTAAATGTGCTGTTGTTTGCTGTTGTTGTTGTTGATGAATTGAATTGAATTGAATGCATTGCAGCACTTCGTTTTCGTCTTTCGATATTTTTTTTATTTTTGTTTGCTTTTTTTTCTGTTTTCTTTTTATTTTTAATGTTCCAAAATGAAAATGAAAAAGAAAGAAGAAGAAGAAGAAGAAAAAAAAAAGTTTTTCTTTTTTTTCACTGAAATTATATTACTGCATTTTATTTATACCGTATATTTTGAATGTATTTGTTTATGACATATGATTGTATTTGTGTATAGTGTGTATATCAGTTTATGTATATCCGTATATATTGTGTGTATATGTTGTATATTGTGTAGTGAGTATTAAAAATATTATATTTATTTATTTCTGTTATATTTTATTCTATTCTGTTATACATTTATTTATTTTATTTATATTTATATTGTAAAACGCATGCATATATATGTTTGATCTTCTTCTAAATAAATCCAAAAATAAAAATAAAATAAAAATAAAATAAAAATAAAACTAAGAAGGTATATATAATGAAAGAAATCTGAAATTAATAAAATATTATTGCATAAAACTTGCCTACACACTGTCGTCTCTTCTTATATTATATTAAAAAAAAAAGGTGGTAAATAAAATGCATTCATAACAATAATAATAAAAAAAAAAGAAGCACATTTCGCATGCACATTACTCTCTCGTATTTAATACAAAAATTTTATAATAATAATAATAAAAATAATAATGATATTATGTTAATGCACTATTCTACTGTCCGTTCATTAATGGAATATTATGTGTGTGTGTGAATGTACATATAATATGTTTATATGTACATAATAATGTACTTATTAGGTGTTTATATAAATTTCTGTAATTTGTTATCTTGTTTTTTTTTTGTTTTGTATTTTGTTTTTCTGTATTTTATCTTTTGTTTTATTTCTATTTATTTAATTTTTTGTTTTCGTTTTGTTTTTGTGTTGTGAGAAAATATCTCTGAGAGTTTTTTTTTTTTTTTCAAAACTGTTATGATGTTAACTGATACCATAATATACTAATTATTATTATTGTTATATTATTTGTAAATAAGTTGACAACTTAACTTTAAAGTCAAAAAATGTTATACTTAAGGTATATTATAATTATAATTCTATATAAGGTGTATAAATTATATACGATTACATGTGATATTTATACATTATGTACATATTTACATATATATTATTATGAATGTGATATATTGGATACTGGAATTTTATTCTTACATATTATAAAATAATATTTGTATTCATACTACATACATATATATTTTTATACTCCTATATATTTAAATGTACATATATATAATATGACAGGTTAGATATATTTAGTATATTTTGCTAATAGTAAAAGCTTATTAATTCGATATATATCAACTGTTATACATATTGTAGATAGGTGTGTATATTATAGAATGCGTATAAATTATATCACTTTTTTTTGTGATTTTTTTTTTTAATTTAATTTAAACGATTATTATTTTTAATTATGAAAAATGTTTTTTTTTTTTAATTAAAATGTACCTTATGTATATGTATACGTATCTTTTTATCTATAATTTGTAACTTGTTACTTTAATTTACAAATTTTAAGAATTCATATTATGCGTATAAACATTAAAAAAAATCTTCTTGAAAATTAGGTGAAATATATATGTATGTATATATGTATATAGTGTGTGAAAAAGATAATTAAGTATATTCTCTTTTACACACTTTTATATTGTATAATATATAATGCTTTCATAATAAATGTATATCGTATAATATGTATAAATATAATTATAAATAATTGAAAATTAAGTATATGTACATATATAATAATATATAGAATATTCTAATTGATCTACGAGTATATATTGAATATAGTGTTGTCGAAATTGTATATTTGAATATTTTTTAACGTTATAATGCAGTAATATAACAGAATTATTTATCTATAAGTATATTACAAATGTATAACAAATTTTTAATATAAAATGAAAATGCAATATTCGTAATTGATTTTTTAATTTGGATATTTATATAAATGCAATATTATTGAATACAAAAAAAAATTTTTTTTTCTCATATCTATACATACATACATTTGTATAATATATTTATTTTATCACAATTAACGAAAATGCCGGTTTTGCATATCGTATACGTGATTTATGAGGAATGTTACCTTGTGTTTCTGTTTAGATCATTTTTTAATGTCGATAATGCAGTCAATGTTGCTAAACAAACACCATCAGATTATGTAGTATCAATTTTACATTGGAGAATTTAAATTTTGTGGTATATAACTATGCGGTAAAGATTTGAGTTTTACCGTTTTAATATTTCATTTTGTAGCACTGATTTTTGTATACGCAAGTTATTTTGATTTTTTTTTTATTTTTATTTTACAAACACATACGTTTTTAAAAAAAAAATTAAGAATTAAAAAAAAATTCTTTTTAAATTTTATTTTTTTTTTTTGTTTTATTTTTTTCTCAAACAAAAATAAATAATTTATTTGTATTTTGTTTTTTTTTGTTTTTTTCTTGTTTTTTTTTACTTTTGTAATTTTTTTCGCAATTTATTTTATTTTGTATAAAAAAATTTTTAGTTGTTTTAATTTTTTCTTTAAATTTTTGCTCACATTTTCACAAATTAGATGAAGCATTTTTTTTACTTCTGGAATTGTAAAAGAAAAAATTCGCGCTTTAAAAAAAAATATGAAGCTCTGTTTAATGTAAAAAAAATAATTGTGGCGGTAATTGTATTGGTGTAAGTCTTAATTAATTTTACTCTCCAAAAATTTTATAAAATTTCAGAAATAAATTAATTTTTAAAAAAAAAAATTGTGTAAGGTAAAGACAGCAACACTTTATTAATAAAGAATTTTTCAATAACCTTTATTGTTTTTGTTATTTTTTTTTTATATAAAAAAAAAGTTAAAGAACAAGCACCAGAAAATTCGCAATGAATTTTTTACACTTTTGAGACGAAACAAAAAAAAACTTTTGTTTTTTTTTTTTTTTTTTAATTTTTTTTTATTTTTATTCAACCGCTTCGAAACGTATTACTTGGAAAACTGATTAAACTCTCAATTTGGTGAGAAGTTGTTTTATGTTTTCTGTAATATCTGTTGAAGCCTTTTTTTTTTCTTCTTCTGATACTTTTATATATTCATGAAGATAAATAAATGTACTTACTTAGAAACATACATACATACATTTATATTTATCTATGTACATACATTTATACAAATTTCTATATTCAGAAGTTGATATCTCACGTTTCTACATATGTATGTTTTTTTTTTTAATATTAAAAAATTTGTTAGTAGGAAATAATACCAAATGAAATATTTACCAAGTACAAATCATTTTAATTCAATTTTAATTAATGAGCTTATTTTATTAGGTGTGATGGATTCAAAACAAAGAATATGGTGAATGTGATAGTTTAGTATTACAATATAGGGTGAATGCGTCATATTTCTAGGAGAATTCGGCAAAAGGAATATGACGAATGAAAATATAATTTGTGAGGTTAATGCTTACAATGAAAAAACTCACCATTATTGGTTTAGAGATATTGACTTTTAAAGATTTAGCAATAACAAATAATTTTTCATGAAAAAATCGAATTTTGGTATTATCATTTTCAGATATTTAAGAACACTTTAAAGCTTAGATATTGATCACAGATGAAAGAGTATTCGATTTTATTACGCCTAGGTTAATTATCTAAAAATATAAAATTTTCGATTTATCTAATGTAGTATTAACATAACGATATACGAGTATGATGTGACAAATACTCCAATATGTCGAAAATATAAAAAATTTTATTGTGTTCTATAGTTATAGTAAAATTGGTATAAATAGGTGTGTTATTCTAATTATATAATATTATGATATATAACAACGTAATAATATGAGACTTCTGGTATGGAGTGAAAAAAAATTTAAAATTTTTATATTTTCAAATACATACGTATATTTGGAAGTATATACTGTTTCCATGATAATGGAATAAAAATATTCGTTAGTTACCCTATTGCAAATATTTCATAAAAGTATAGAGTTTAATGGTCTCTGTCATTAAAATTGAAGTTTCGGTTGTAATTTTTAAAAAATTTTAATGTGAAAACAAAACAAATTATTAAAACTGAGAATGCAAATTTCATCCAACTTTTTCATGTTTTTTTGTGTCAAACTTCAAAACTTTCATAGTATATATTAAATATTTAACGCATAACTCATAACTCATACTGCCAAAACACTAAGCAGTGTTTTTACTCTCAATGAGAATCAATGCATGCGTTTAAATATCAGAACTACTTATATTGTGGTCTATTAACTAGCCCTTCTAACACTATTATTTTCTTAAAAATGAAATTTGTTCTTTTCGCATACTTTATTACAAAATGGATTTTGATGTTGTTGTTATTTCATTCACACCTTCAGATTTGAATTTTCGTCAAAATTTAAATTAACATTTTTGAAGAAATTTTGTATAATTAATATAAACATTCAAAATCACCAGATACAATAATACTGCATTTAAAATTAAAAAATAAAAAATTTGTTTTTTCCCAAATTTCCTTCGACTTTGCTACATGGTACCATTTTTTCTTTTCATTTAAAAATAGAGAGCTTGATTAGAGAAATAAATTTTATTTAATAAAATTCTCATGTTGTTACTCTTTAGTCATTATGGGCAGGTTATGTGCTTTTGATTCTTCTTTTTTTTTGTTGTTTTTATTTTGAATTAGATATCTAAAGTAAGAAGAGTAAAAAGCAAAATGTATCTATATATACATTGTTATATACTCATATTTAATGAACTAAAAAAATCATCTATTTGAAATAGCTACAAGATTGTTAAATGATTCGTCGATATGATCATTTATAAATGTAGTTGTATATTGAAGAATGAAAGGACGTGGTCAAATTATTAAAGATTTAAATATATTTTTAGAAAGTTTGTGTATAATTAAATTATATGCGTATGCTAAATATCGAGTATAATATAAATTAGTCGATTGACTGAAATAGATGACAGGCTCTTTTTAGCAAACTCATTGCATACTGTTAGGGAGGATATAGACTGGCACCAAATTTCGGATGTCGAATTTTCAGGATTGAACTTCTCTATGGTAGAGAAACGTAAATAAACTATTTTTAGATTGATGTGTCTGTCTGGTTGTCTGCCTCTCGGTGTGACGGTCTGTGTGTGCACGCGTGTATATCAAGTTCGGCTAAACCAATTTTGATGAAATTTTATTTATTTCTTTATTTTGGCTGTGTCGCGGATTGATCAACTTTTGAAATATATCAGGCGTCGAGAATTGGACCTTCTTGTGCATATAACGAGAAATAATCAACCATAATTTCCTTTAAAATTGATATTTAAATTTGGGGTAATAAAACAATGAAACAATATATTTTTATAAAGCTGAAGGCTCGAAAACCAAACTAGAGGCCAATTTTGAATTCCTGATCATATCTAGAGAATTAATTGATGAAATTTTTTTAAATTCATTTGAGTTCTGATTGCTATCGAAATTAATTTGCGTACTCATTAGGGAATTCGGATGGCGCAAAGCGAAATTCTACTAAGAGTAAAATTTAGGTTTCTCCATGTATCGTGACTCAAAGCTTACTAACTTCCTTAAAATTGAGAATAAGTGTTTAAAAGGAATTTTTATAATCTCCTGTAACATCAGATTTTTTGAGTATCTTGGTAGTATCTTGGTTTGTATCGAGAATTTTGACAAATATTTATCTAAAAATTATTTGAAATTGAAAAATAAAATTCTATTATTGATTGAAGTGGAATATTTGAAAAAATGTCACATTTTCAGAAAAGAAATTTAGTTATTTAAATATTGTTATAGTATTTAATAATTTCCTTGCCTTTAAATATATTTTGATTAATTTTAAACACATTATGAAGCAATTAATTAAAAAGTGTTGGCTGTTTTGCTCATTGATGCTATCTATGTATATAGGATGACTTAGAAAGGTAAAAACATATTCTATTGGTTATAATAGTGTTTCTCAATGTGGGTCGTATCACCCCTATAGGGGTTCATCCAATGGGGGCTCTTTCGCACACATCTGTTGTTCTATGATACCAATGAGTAGATCCTACTCGACATTGCAGAAAAATCTAATTTTAACATGGACATAATCAGTTCAAAATAATTCTATTGTGTAAAAATAAGAACTTTATTAAACAACCATACAAAATTTTTTAAGCTGGGCAAAGAGAGACAATTATAATTTTGCTCAAATTATAATAAAATAATAATTGAAAATAATTTTTTTTTTAATATTTATTAGTAGTTTTTGGATAGATTTTTATAAATATATTTTAGAACGATATTTCTTTTTATACTAAGCCTACATCAGAACACTCAATTTAAAAATTTATTTGAATTAGATTTTATATTACATCTACTTGCTTTTTTTTTGTTTTGGCATAAATAGTAATTTCAATCGATTTAAAACTCAACATACACTTATACAAATATTCTAAATTTAGGACTTTATTTTAGTAAACTGCGCATAACATTCTTGAGCTTCAATATTTCAATTTTATTTTGTATTATTTGAGGCTTTGTATTTTTTTTCTATTAATTTTTATTACATATATTTATATAATTATACTAAAATATTTATTTTATATTTAGAAATCTTGGAAAAAATTAAATTTCTTGAGTCGTACATTGCATTTCCAACCATAGTTAGTGGTTACATTATGTAAAATTGTATATTATATAATATATTTAATTTGGTAGAGCTAGGAAAGTTTAATATTATAGAAGTTAATCAAAAAACATTAAAAAGAATCGCCACGTCAAGGAAAACAGACTCGTCAAATTCTAGAACTTGCAGATTAAATATGAAATTATTTAAAAAACAGAAAAAAAAAATTAATTGGTAAAAAATTTTTTGAGAAAATTTAAAATACAAGTTTATCCAGAATTTTCATATTACTTAATCATATGATATCTATGCGAACCTTTCCTACTTTTAATAATATTGTATTATCAATATTAAAAATTTTTAATTCAAATTTTTGATAATAATTTAATATAAATTCCGATTAACGATAAATTGTTACAAAATTACCTATTATATATCTATCATATATCTACCTATTATATATCTATTATATATAATATTTACAGACCTACGTAATATATTATATAGGTAAAAATTTATTAAGAAAATCTATAAGTTAAAGTTTATTTATTTTATTCAATTTTATAATTGCAAACAATCATTAACAAATAAAAATAAAAGATATACATATACTTATTAGTTCTTTAACAGTTTACCCTAAACTCGTTTATCTTTATAACAAAGTTTTCGAAAGCAAATATACAACATTGAAATATATTTCTCATATATCATATTATATATCATATATAGTACAATAAAAAAAATATTTGCAAATGTTTTTTTTTTGTTTGGAAAATCCAAAAGAAAAGTAATATGTTATAATAAGAGCCTGGACTGATTGCAACAAGAAGCGTAAAATAATAAAAAAAAAATATAAATTTTTATTTATAACCGCCCGCTAAGTTTACGATTTGGTAGTTTGTTATTAAGTATATTTATATATTTATGTATTTACATATATATACTATATATATGAGTTTAATAACATACTATGCATGTGTAACTTTTTGCCTTTATGATTTACCTGTATAAATAAATAACATATAATAGTAAAATATGTTTAGGTATACTATATATCTATATATATTATTGGATTTTGTAACCTGAAAAATATTTTTTATTACATTTATGTACCTATTTAATTTGGGAAATCCTCAACACATTATTACATATGTGAATTTTTTTCTGGATGATTTCTTTTGAACATTAAATAAATAAGCCGTTTACCACGTTCCTTTACAAAACAAAAAAAAACAGAAAAAACAAGAAAAAATGATTTTCTTTGAAACTGATAAAATAACCTTTTTGGGTAAAACCGCTTATACTTTTATTACAAATACAAAAATGCCAAAAAATAATGCAATTGTAATTAAAATTCAGATAAAATTTTTAAAAATTTATGCTGCTGCTGCTCTGCTACTACCATTTTGTTATTTTGTCCAAACAAGTTTAATTTGTTGCCTAAATATAATTTTAATAAAAGAAAAATTTTCTTTTCATTTTACTTTGGTTTTTGTTTTACAATTTTTTTATTTTCTTCTTTTAAAATTTTAGAAAATCTAGTAAAAATTTTCGCACCGCTATAAAACACACATGTATTTCGTATAAGTTATTTTATACTATATACTTACTATGTAATAAATGAAAAACTAAAAATATAAAAATAAAATGAAGAAGCGTAAAAAGCATTGCGTTTTTATTACCTGCATATTTGAAATGGAAAGATATTGCATCTGAAAATGTAATTATGTAATATGTGATTAGGAACAATTTCCAGTTGCATTTAAAATTACAAACAAATAAAAATACAAAAAAATGTTTTCAAAATCCTATGTTTCGTGTATTCTCACGAAATTCTATGATTCAATTTTATTAATTGGTATGGTAACTGTTTTTGTTATTTTTACGTGAAAAATTTTTTCGAAAAAAAAGAACAAAATAATTGTGTCAACATACTGTTTTTATATATTTAATTTGCAATTTGAAATAAATCACAAAATCGCTTGCCATTATTTATTTATTTATTTCAATTCTCTAAAGGAGCTTTAAGCTCATACAGAGTGCGTAATAACTTAATTATAAATCGTTTGATAATCGTCTGATATCGGGACTATATTCGGACGCTATACTATTTCATGGACAGCGCTTAATATCTTGTCTAAGCATCTCCAATGAAATGCAACTGCAAATAAAGTTTGACTTATTTAGCGATAAAACTAATTTGAGTAATTTTTCTATACCTAATTTTCAAATTTGTGCAAATGCAACAACAAGGCGCAGAAATGATTGATTGGTGGTTGCGGGTTTCGTGATAAATGTGGTGCATTTGCAGTAAAACACTGTAACTATCTATTTTTATCTTATCGCAATATTCTTTCATTTAAAATTTACAAACTTATAATAACGGTAAGAAAATATAAATAGGTTTAATTTTATAGTACTTATGTCTTAAAATAAAAATTAAATTATTAATATATATGAATATATAAATGTATGTGTTTTCTTTTTTTGTAAATATTATAGTACAAATTATAATAACATATATTAAGGCGCACTCATTGGTTTAACGCTATGTACCTAATTGTATAGTATATAACCCAACAATAAAATACATGTAAGTTTAAAAAAAATTTCCCCGCTAATATGAAACTTGTCCCCCGCTAATAATTTGTCGGAGAGGAAAAAGGCTGCATTATAAAATTTGATACTAAATTTAAAAATATTGTACATTAGCTCGTCGAAAAACGGACGAAATAAATTAAATTTTTTCATACAAGAGTAAATAGTTTTATTTAAAGCTAATTTTAACCTGCCACTATTAACAATTCGCTAACAGTTGTATAAAACGTTGAAAACAATAGATGATCTATTGTTGTTCACAAGACAAAAACTAAAAAAATAATTTAGTCAAAATTTTAATTCCTGAAAATCAGTGGATTTTTCATTTTAGTAAAGTTGAGAATGTTAGGCTCCATAAAAAAATTCCATATACCAAATTTGATTTGCTATAAACAAATGAAATAAATTTGCGGCGATAGTTCAGTTGATTCTGAGCATGCTTATTTAAATATGTGTATTCTATATGAATACTGCCATTTCGCCGCAAAAAATCGATCTGTTCTGTTTTCAATTTGTAGTAGCCAAATCGGGTTTCTAGTGCGGGTGCTTAAGACTGCGAACATGAACTTATATGTTAAGATTAATATCTCTTGTCAAAGAATTGAACATTATTAACGTATCGCATTTCGTCGTCAAAAATAGAACTCGATACAAAATTCTTGACTACCGCACGCGGCAATTCGCTTCCTTTTAGTTGTGTTTGTAGTTTGTTACACAGCCCTGTTTTTATATCAACTACAAGAAATTTTAAATTGATTGACAAATTTGACAGTAAGAATATAGAAATGAACCAAAGAATGGTCTGACTTGTTATATCAAAATTGTAAAAAAGTTAGTCGGTTATTAATTAGCTAATTATTGCATTGAATTGATGATGGAATCTGATCCTGACTGTTTACTTTTACGAGAAATGTTCCGTAAGTACCATGAAATGTAATATAATGTGTACCTTCATCCTGAAAATTTAATTTATAATTAAGAAAAGGCATTAAAAGATCCGCAAAATGAGTTTGCTGTTTCTATGTTTGCAAATATGATTCGTGGTGATTCTAGATTTGTCGAGGAAGCAATTGAATTGGTATTTAACAAATTTTAACTTTCTGAGAGAAAAGTGTGAAACTTTCTTTTCTTTTCTTTAAGATTTTAACAAAAATTAATTCAAAGGATATTTCTGAGTCTGTGAGGTCTCTTGAAATTTTAGAAGAATGTATGAGTAGGAGTGGTGCAGATTTTCAATCTGAAATATCAAAATATCGATTTCTGAACCAACTTAGTAAACTAGTATCAATAAAACATGATGGTAATACAACTGCAAAAGAAATAAAAGACAAAATAATGGATTGTTTTTTGCTTTGGACTGCTCAGTATCCAGAGAAAGGTAAATGAAAATGCAACAGTATTGAAATGTGGCAGGAATTATAATCGTATTTCTTATCGAACATAACTTAGCAAATAATTTTTTTAATAACCAACTAGAAGGTACTACGGTGAACTGAAAGATAAACACTTTTCTTAAATATTTTCGCAACCGGTTTACATAAATTGTATATCAACATAATATTTTTGTTTTTAATATTTGTGTTTTAGGTTTAAGTTAAAAAATACATGAATTTTTATCTCGTATAAGTTATATTATTGTTAATTTTTGATGTCGTAACAAAATTTTTTAGAAAAAATTAAAGCAGTTTACGATGGCCTTAAAAAAGAAGGAATTCAGGACACAAATTCATCAAGCAACGTGACTATAAATTGCACTTACCAACGAAAAACTAATTTGATGGATAAAGAAGATGAAAAAAAATTTAGAAGACTTTTACAATCAACCAATAAGGAAGATATTAAAAAAGCTAATTTATTAATACAACATTACGTAAAGCAAGTAAGTATAAATTAAAAGTATCTGCCAAACCATTTTTGAAATTTAAATTCTTTTTTGAGGATGGCAAAAAAGCAGAGCGAGTATTGAAACAAAAGGCTGAGCTGGAATGTATTCAAAATGCTGTACAAATTTTTAATGAAGTTTATGAAAATTATATACAAGAAAAGTCGGGAAATGAAGAAACTTTAACCTTATTAGAAGAGCTATATGAGACGTGTACAAAAAAAGGACATATCGTAAGAAAAATGCCGGATATAATGGAGGATTCCGAAGAAGATTTGATACGTAAGAAACTATTTGTACATATATAAATTTTAGGTTTTTAAGCTCATCTTTTATATAAAGGCGAAACCATGCGGGTGAATGATATGTTACTTGAGGTAGAAAACAAATATAAAATGATGTCTAGTGGGAATGGAAAACAAATAACAGAAGAAATTAGGAATGTAGTACCAAAAGAAGAAAATAATTTTTTAAGCGATCATTTAGAAGATTTATTATCGGTGCCTTTAGATCAGCCAAAACTTCTTGAAACTAGTTCAAACAAAGAAAATCCGTTAGATGAATTAGCTGATATTTTTCCACAAAGTTTACCCTCAAACTGTCTAACACCAGCACCTGTTCCTAAGGTTGAGAACAATGAGGATTCAACATTATTGGATCTGAATACTAAATCGGTGTCACAAAAACCGATTTTTTCGACCATAGATGACTTAAGTATAGATCTGATCAATAAAGAACTTAGTAATTTACCCAGGGCAAAAACTTTTCGAAAGTATGCAAAATTTTAAACTTGTACCCAAATTTAAAAGCTTAGTTTTTAAATAATTGTAAATTTATCTTTATTTTTAATAGAGAAAATTCAAAAATTTCCCTGAATCAACTTTCCAAAGAAAAACAAAACATAATTTCTGAAGTGACTGCATTAAGTAAAGAGAAGGCTTCCATTGAAAAAGTTGATGAAGTTTGTAGCCAAGAAAATAAAAACGTTAATCCACTTCCTGTAAATGAAATGTCCTCCTTAGAAAAAAGGAATGGTTCAGATCGAAACAATGAAGTTAAGGAGACAGATTTGAAAATTAACCCAAAAGATAATCTATATGATATCGAAATTAATTTTGATGAAATCAAACCAAGTAATGTTGAACAAATAATATTATTTGATTGTAACAATGGACTTAGAATAACTTTAAATTTTGCCGCCAATAAACCACGCGAATATACTTCTGTGATAGTAGTTTCAAGCACTAACCAAGGTCAATCACCTGTGGATGATTTTCAGTTTGACGCATGTGTCGACGATTCTCAGTTTGAGCATGAGGTAAAAATTTATGAATTATGTACTTTCATTCGTTAAATTTTAACTATTCGTCTTATTCCAAACAGCCCTGTAAGTTGCGCCTACTTCAAAGAAATGGGAGTTTTTTACCGGGAGTTAAACCGTTTTGTCCTCCATCTGACTGTTTGCATCAGATAATGTTGATATACAATCCAACTGAAAATCCACTTAAAGTAAGATTTACTTATAGCTACAAGCAAGGCGATGATCCCATCACAGGATCATTAATACGGTCTATACCTTATTTAAAATGAGGCATGTTATCAAATCTGAAAAGTATTAAAATAATGAAATTGCTAATTTTGCTTTGCTTTTAAAGTATATTCCAGACATCATTTAAAAAAAACATTTGGTAGTTTAAATAAATGTAATCGTTTTTGTCATTTAGGAGTAATTTAATACATATACATATTAATGTAACTTAATTAAAATTATTTTGTTTGTTTTTTTTAATTTTTAAGATACTACCTCGTCTTTAAAAGAAAGAGCAGTTATTGCTTTTTGATGTCCAATATATTCACGTTCGATATCTCTCGTATCAATTTTCCATAACCTTGCTAACCCATCCGAAGAAGCTGTAAAAATGTATTTAGAATCAGCGGAAAATGCGATGTCCCAGATCCACTTTTTATTATCGAGGGAAAATTCTCTGAATAAAGAAAAGTCACTTGTTCTATACAATTTAAAAGTGCTGTCAGCTGACGTTGTAACCTCAAATTAAATGTAACTATGTATTATAATGTTTTAAGTTTTTTTTTTGTAAAAAAACATACTAGCAAACTGGAATCTGGACTAAATTTGCATCTTAAAACGTATCTTTTATGGGCAGTTATTTTAAGTTTTGGTTTTAAGACACTTAAGTGTTGATCACTTGAGCTAGACAAACTCCAAATGTAACAGTTTCCTTTATTATTAACAGCTGCCATGTACATCCCATCAGGACTTATTGCAATGTCTTGTATTGAAGCATCAACTTCTGGTATTAATTGCTCATGTCTATCTGATTTTACATCCCACAAATATACGCCTCCTCCTTGTGAGCCTATTGCCATTTCAACTTGATTTGGGTGCAAACAGGCAGCATTTATGGGAGTGAGACAATCAAACATTCTTTTACACTGCGGGCTTGAAAAACTCATATCCCAAATACGTATCCTGCAATCTTCTCCGGCTGTAAACATCCATTTTCCATCTTCCTGTTTAGTATACTTTAAGATTAAATTTTAGGTTGCTTTTTCTAAACTTACTTGAAATCCCAACCGAGTTACGTTTTTCATTACTCCTTCAAAGTTTATAACCGGACTACAAGATGTTGAGGTTAAATCGTATAACCTAATACTCATATACCCACAGGACGCTAACATTGTTTTATCGGGAGTACGATCTAGGGCATTCACTTGCTAAAAATAAATACATTTACATTGAAATTCTACATTTTGATTTATTTTTTCATTGAATATTTTATTTTTCGGTTTCATGCAGAAGTCTTAACCTTACCGAATCATCATGCTGTAGTGTTCGTACACAATGCCCAGTATGTGCTTGCCACAATTTTATCGTATGATCATATCCTCCTGTTGCTAAAATTAATTGGTCACCATTATTTTCTAAGGAGGCCATTTCTTTCGAAACAAAATGTTATATATTATTTATTTCATATGTATAAAAATGAAAGTTCATGTAGATTTGTAGTTCTTAATGATTATAATCACGGAAATATAAATATTTATTTAAACCTGAAGATCTTATCTTATTTGATAAACAAATTCTCAAATCAGGATTCTGTATATCAGAGATCTGTGACTATTCTAGACCTTGTGTACCTTTCTTTTTAATGACGTTATTTAAATTTATGTTTAATTCTATTCTTAATAGCTACAGCGAAAAATACATTTTAAAATTTATTTGTAATTATTTCAACTTTTTCACACAAACTTCAAGTTTGTTTTTAAAAAATGATTAAAAACAGAGAGGAAGAGAAAGAGGTACTGAAGTTTAAAAATCGGAATATAAAATAGCAGGGGTGCGACTAACCTTTAGTCAACGACAAAAATGACAGCAGTCGTTATAAATATAATATATCGCGATATTTAACGGTAAAATAAATGCACTTGACAGTTTAACATGACTGATTTTTGTTCTCGTCTTTGTTTTTATTTTAAAAATTTTTTAAAATAAAATTTACCATTGGCTGTGTTTATATTACGACTTTCGCAACATTGGTTCCATTTATCCTTGCCAATACAAAGACATAATAAGTTTGTCCGCAATGAAATGATATATGAATCTTTGATTGAAGAGTCTTCATGTAAACACAAAAAATTTAGCACGAAATTTTTAACATCCGCGATAGCTTCGTTTTAGAAAATGGTTCACATAACTAACTTTTACTTCTAGTATTTGCATCCTCGATTTATATCTCGATAATGCCTGATTTCAAGTCAAACGGTTGTATTCGTCGAGTCGTAGTTTAATTGTGAAAATGATTAAATGATCACTTGGTAAGCACAAATTTAATACATCATCTTTACTTTATGGATTTAATATATGAGCGACACCGCTTTCTAATCACTTCACTGATAAGAGGGTGATTTCACTTGCCCAAACATATTTCTTTTAGGTCGCTTAGTTTTCGAAATAAAACGCACTTCTACTTTTCAAAGTGCTTCCCAAATATTTCATATTATTAGAAAGATGGAGCAAATAATAGAAGTTAGTAGTTATCGTCGACAAGTAACACCATTTTTATTAACTCAGATTTATTTATAAAACTGAAAAAGAACTTAAGGGTATGAAAAAATATTAAGTTTACTTTTAGTGACTTTTTTATTTCAAATACTTTTGTGTTCCTTTTTTTAACAATATTAAAAACAAACTTTTATTAAAAAACTAAATAATTACATTGCGTTTGACTTGTTGTCTATTAAAAATGTGGAAGCATTATACATATTTATAAATACAATATAATATATGTAAATAGTATGTAAATCATTTTTCTTCACATCACATCAACATTATAACTTAATTGTAAAAAGATTTTATTTATTTTTCGTAACTGTTACCCTATCATTAACATTTTTTTTTATAACTTTTCTTTTTGATAACTTTAACCATAAATATGACTGGGATTAGGAACTGGTAATTTAACAAATGAAAATTATAATAATTAGTAAAACTTTTGAGTGCAGCGAGGGCATTTATTTGTGTTAATTCTCGTACATACTACAAAATCGTCAAACATTTACGATTTCAATTCAGCGTCATTTCATAATTTATGTATATGGGTAAGTATTTACGGATGTAAAATTATTAAAGAATTCCGTAAATATCTTACATTAACATATTGTAGGTATGCATGTATTAATAAACATTATACAATATTACTTTTTAAAATAATCTTAAATTAAAATTAGTACTTAGTGCAGTTAATATTTATCAAAATATATAAAATAATAAAAAATTATAAAAATATTCATTTGTAAATATTATTCGCCCACGATCCGGAATTCGGGAAAATGTGAATAGAATTAAAATTTTACATTCGCCAGAATGAACATTGAATTCAAAATTAAATGTTAAAATTTATAATTTTACACACTTGAAGAGTTCAACAAAGTTTTGAATTATAAATTTTATTGTTAAAAATATAAACAACGACCCTGTTTTGTTATTATTCAATGAAGAAAATAGCCGAGCGAAAAACAAAAAAGAAAAAGTTAGAAAAAAAATTTTGCGCGAAAAGGCAAATGTTCAGATCTACCTGATTTAAAGTAAGTTACATATTTTAAATAAAGTAACTTCAATATAAATTTAATATAATTTAAATTTTCAAAAAAGAGAATCGCGGAACGCCATTATTCATTTTCGAAAATTTCATTTTGATGGAGAATGCGTTTCGTCAGAACACCAATATTTCTATTCTGCTGTCAAATTTTTACTTTGAGAGTACTGGAACATGAACGATTATTTCTTTTACTTTTTATTATCTTCAATTTAATAATAATACTTATAAGATATATGAAAAATATGTATATAAATAGATAAACATAATATTTTGTATACATATAAAGAATGTAAGACTACTCTGTTTCAAAATATTAGAATGTCGAGCTTTACGAAGAGCTCAGAGTTTTGAGGGCCCCGAAACAATTATTGATTATGCCTTATAGTCAAGAGTGTGTTCATAAACTGTTTATAACAATTGCCCTAATAACTACAATGTGATGATTTTGTTTTTTTTTTTATCTCTGCTTTATTCATTACTGTGCCTAATCAAAACCATAATATTACCTATAAAATTAATATCATTATTTAGTTATTTAATTCAACAATATCTTTAGAACTATTAAACTAAAAAAAAAAAATATTTTTTGATTTCTATTGAAGTAAGTACAGCGTTTAGATTATAGAAGATATTTAAATAAAATCGGCTTCGAATGAAAATTAATTTTCAACGCTTTCAACGCTTATATACAAATATTTGAATTTTTACTCTGACCGAATTTTAAAGTAATACGATCATATATGCTGTGGTTTTACATTAAAATTTCCCATTGTTAATTGTTAATTGTTTTTGAATAAAATTATTATTTTTTAAGTACAATAAATCAATAATTAATTCTATGTTTTAAACCACATGTGTAATTTTTCTTATTTTATAAGTTTTGTGAAATTATACCCATAAAATAAAATAATTAGTAACTCAAACATAATATATACTTCCACGTAGAGGTTGTTCACATAAAATATAATAATTTTTTGTTTTTTTTTTTTATTTATGTACTTATACATAATATAATTATATAATATGAAATAAAAAGCAAAAAAAAACAATTTTTTTCACGAATATCGTTTAACAAAATCCGAGCGAGATTATATTATGATAACAATTTTAATTTTTAATGATTTTCATTTATTGCCATTAGCAAAAATTTTTAAAAATTAGCTTTTTTAAACTTCATAAAACGGTTAAAAAATTTCCTAAATATTTTTTTTTTTTGCAAGCTTTAATATCGTAAGTACATAGTAAAAAATTCAGTTCAATATACATACAAATATATATATTGATATATATATATATGTATATATATATATATGTACATATATATATATATTTAATTATTTATTTATTTATAAAATAAAATTAGTACAGATAGTTCTCGTATAAATAATAATGGCTATATTTGAATCAAATATATTCGTCATTTTTGAAATGAATTGATAATATTGAATTTAGTAGCCATTATACGAGAATTATTTGTATAACAATTCCCTAGCGTTTGATATTAAATTATGTGGTAGGAAGGTGGACAAAAAAGAAAATGTTTTTCTTTAAAATTAAAAAATTAAAATTATATTAAAAAATAATTGTGGTAAGAGTATAAAAATTGTACCTAAGATTTACTTGAAAGAATATCAATTAATATAATTCGAAATATTTGGTCATTTCATTTTTTATGACTTTAATTTTGATTTTCAAAAATTGATATTCGATTAGTAAAGATGAAAACAGGTCGAAATTATTTGAGGTGCTTTAAGGATTATATGTACATATTTAACCTTTTTTGTTTTTATATATAAAATATCATTTTTTTTTTTTGTAATTTTATAACTTTGATAAACAATATTTTCATATTCGTAATAACTTTATGTGCGGTTATTTTTTTTAATTATTTTTTCTTTTTTTTTTCATTTACAATTTAGCATTTTCATAATATTAATGTATAAAATTAATTTATTTTCCTATTTTTGTGGCAAAAAAAGCAATCGTTAACTCACATAAATACACTAACCTTTACAATTTTTACAAATATTTTTTACATGGTTTTATTAATATTGTATTTTAACATAAATGACATCTTAAGTTTTTTGCGTTTCTAGTATTGCTATATTATATAATATACTACGTAGACATAGAAAAAAAAGCGTTTTTTTTTTTGTTTAAGCAAAACTAATCTTTAAATTTTCTGAATTTTAAATTAGGGGGTATGTGGGTATTAGTTTTGCTCCTAATTTGTGTATATGTGTATCAAATTTTGATATTGTAACCGCAATTAAGTTTAAAACTCGAAATGTTTACGTAGTAACTTTTTTTTTTTTTTTTTGGTATAATGTATTTCTCATATTGTTTATTTTAATATTTTTTTTTCTATAAAATTTATTTAGTTTTTTTTGTTTGATTTAATTTTAAATATGTGTCAATTGAAATTTATCACAGCGATAATCAACAACCGAAAACTTGAAATTTTGAATATACAATTATTACACGCTTTCGGCTTTCGATATTTTATTAGATTTAATTCGAATTTTTCTATTGAAAATGCGGTAAATATAAAAATAATATAGTGTAAAACTAATTATTAAATATTTAAAACAACTATAAAAAAATTGGTTTTAATATAAAAAATATAATTTTTAAATATTCAATATTGCCAATTTTTTTTCAATTCGGCAGTGATAAAAATATTAGAACTTAAAAAATATATATGAATTTATTAAAAAAATAATTGAGAAATTGCAATTTTGGTATTGTATATTGTGATTTACGAAGTTTGTATTGTTTAATTTTGTAATATGCGATAATATTTACTGTCTATATGAAATATGCAAACTCATATTTATTTTTACATTTATACTATTAAATATTTGAAACAAATATTGAATGTATAAGGTAAAAGTAAATGAGTAGCATGCAATTTATCAAAAAACAAAATTTACAAAAACGCACAAATAAAAATCACAAATTAATACTTTTAGAATAAAATGTATTAAAATAATAGTGACGGTATATGTTTAATTTTACTTTAAATGTTACTTTAAAGTGATTAGTAAACTTCATACAATTTTCATACAAGTGACATTTAATTTCATTTTAAACTAAATATAATCTTTCGATTATAAATTTTATAATCGGTTATCGGTATTCAACACTTATAACAAATAAACTTTTTACTAATTTATTGTTTTATTTAAAATTCTCTAATATTATAACAAATATGAATTTTAAATGAAAATAATTTACGAATTAATTTAGCTATATGGGTATGATGTTTAAAAAAAGCAAGGAATTTTTCGAATTAGTTTTATAAACTTGCCAATTTATTTTAAATATATTATGTACTATAATGCATTTTATAATCAATAATTCAATTAAAAATATCGATAAATTTCAAGGCACTCTTTTTTTTTAATACACGAACACTAGAATTCATCCGTACTACGATTACAAAATATAAAATAAAATGCTTATCGTAAACCACAATATTTTCTTTTTACTAACCATGTGTATTTTTTTTTTTTACTTTAAACCTACTTCCTATGTTTTATAACATTGCCAATATAACAATTATATAGGCATAATTCCAAACGTGTTTAAATTAACTACATATATTTGATCTACATTGATTCATACAGATTTTTAAACTTGAAATAAAGAACATTTTGTTATCATTAGAATTTTAAAAATAAAAATATACGTAATAAAAAAGTTTTAGCTTAAAAAATATTCTTAACAATACATAAATGTAAGTTTATTTAAACAGAAATACATATAAATGTACATAATGTATGTATTCAAATTCGTCTCATTGTTTGCCCAGTAAAAAATATTGAAACTTTTCTTTTGAAAACCTCCATTGGTTTTTCCATCGATGACTGAGAATCTGAATCATAACCTTCACTTTCATCATCTTCACCAAATATAATTGTTCTTGTATAAGGAACATCTGGATCATCATTTTCACAAAATCCAGGATTTAAAATTATATTCGGTACTAATTCTGTACTTCCCCAACCATCTTCAAAATCGACTACAAGAAAAAAGGAAAAATATTGTATTCCACATTAATGTCTTTGAAGATCAAAAATTTTTTTTTACAAAACTCTTAATTTATGCAATTTTTTTTTAAACAGTGACACTTAACAAATCTCTAATATATTACTAAATTTTAATATGGTGTATTTGTGTTTAGTATGTGTTAATATTAAATAAATAATTAACATTAATGAATTAGCACAATATGCAATAAATTAGAAATAATATTATTTTAAAACTATATGAAAAACAAATTAACTACCTACTTTATTATATTGTAAATTTAACAACATTAATAGCAAATTCCAAAGGAGATGCTGTTATTTATAACAAACAAAAATTTTAAATCGACATTCTACAACTAACATTTTTTATTCTAATGAAATTTTGATATTTTTAAAATGTGTTTAAGTTTTATATTCGAATTATATGAATATAATGTGTGTATTTTCATAATATTACTATAATTTATTATTATGTGTGTAATTTATATACTAAATAGTTGTAATATATATGTATAATATAATTTTATATAAGTATTATATGCAATATATTATGTACTATACTAATTTATATATGACATAAATACAGATTATATATTCATTTATTTATATTTAAGCCACACTTCAAAACTTTCAAAATTTGCAACAAAAATTTTAAGCTATAACAGCAACATCAATATCAACTTCATCCAATATATTTGTACCAAGTGAGGGATATTGATAACATTCTACAGCCAAAGTGACTGTTAATCCAATAGCTAGGATTACAAGGGCACCAAGAACTAAGGCGACAGCAGCTATCCAAATTCTTACATCAAAATTTTCTAGATCTTTTATAATTAGCCGCAATACATCTGAAAATAATGAAATTTCGAAATTATTTTGAAGTAATACTTGAATATATAATTTAATAAATATAACTGATCTTAAATTTTGTATAAGTTTTATGAGAAATATAGAAATTTATGAATCTTAAAAATGATATACATAATATATTAAATACCTTCGTCTGACATTTCAGGTAAAGTTGTTACATTCGTCGTTACAATTTCACCCGGCCCTAATTTATTATTTCCCCAAATTCTAAACTCATAAGTAGAATTGGGCTCCAATTTGTAAACTTCCATTTGCCTCTAAAAATTATAAAATATATAATTAAATTTAACAAATGTCTGTTTTAATTAAATATACAACAAAAAAAAAGTAATAATATTAATTTTACAATAAATTTACTTGAGGAAGAAAAATAATAACGTGCTTTATATTGCATCTTTAAATTTATGTAGGTATATAAATTTCTAAATTTAATAATTGTCATTTACTTATTGTAATTTGCATTTAACAATGTTGATGTTAATTGATAGTGATGCCGCAAAAGTTATTTTTGTTATACAAACATATTAAATATTTCATGGAAAATTGACTATCTAGAAAAGTAGTGTTTTTAAATTAATTTCTACCAAAAAATCGTAAGTTGGATAATTTTTTTTTTGTTTGAGAAATAAAAAAATAGTGAAATGACTTTTTATAATAATCTTTCGTTAGAAATTAATAAAAGCACAAATGGTTTTCAGTTTGTCAATTTTAAATGAATTATATTGAATCTTTTAAAAATAAACTAATATTATATTAATTTTTTATTCTAAAATCATAAGGTTTTACATATTATACAAGTATATAAATTGAAAAAAAAAATTACATTTATTTTACTTTGGTTACTTTATCCTATGTAATTTTACAGACCCATATACCAAACTATAGATACACATGAAATTAATTTTGTATAAAAACATAGTTTAATTTATTCTATTGAATATACACACAAAATTTTACACAATAACACATATTTAAAGTTTATAAGATAGCTATATATTTCCAAACTAAAATGATACTAAAACAAGTTTTTACAATAGTGAGTTTATCAGTTTTTAAAGAATGTTCAAATAGAAAATTTCTCTATTTTTGTAAATTTTTGGCGAGACAAGCAAAATTTTCACTTCAAGGCGTTTCTCTCAATTAATATTCTCTGAAAGAATTTCTCTAGCCGAAAGCAACTTTATACATAGTGCAACTTATAACACAAGTTAATAAATTTGTTGTGAGTAGAGATATTCAATAATAGAGAACTCAAATATTTTAATTTTATTAATTTCTTTTTCTTACGTTCCATTGATTGTCTTAAATTCTAACTATTATTTGCATAATACAGTACTTTCGTAAAGTACATAATAAGACCCAAATGAAAACTAATCTGTAATCTACTTTATACATCAACGTCCAAATACTCCTTACTGATACAAAACATTACTTTTGATGCTGGTATATAAGTAATGTTTGAAAACAATATTTCAACTAATTTAATATACTTATTTTTCTATTTTAAGTCTAATTAATTATAGTATTAGGTACAATATAAAACAAAAAATTTGTACACGTATGATATACTTAAATTTAATGATGTACAAAGTAATTTTTAAAATGTTTTGTTACTAAGGAAAATATTTATACATTGAAATTTAAAATTCGAATATTTGTTTTTATTTGATTTGATAAGAAAATTTAAAGAGATAGAACTCAAATTTTAATATAACTGCAAAACATAAAACAGGTACATATATAATATAAGAATACAAAAATTCGAATTTTAAGTTTGAAAATATTTTACATGTAGATGTAGGTGTATGTTATTCTAATAAACTTTTGAACTGGCTGGATATAAAGAAATAACAAAGGTTCTATTAAAATATAGTTCAGATAATTTTTTAAATCGTTTCTCTAATTTTGGATTTTGTAGTAAAAATTGTTTTCGAGTCATTCAATTAATACGTTCCCTTATACCATGTGGTGTCACTAAAGAAACTTTTTTGTTTGATTGATTTTGATGGCCTCTTTTGCATTTATTAAACACTCCACCATCGAAATTGCTTGAACAAAAGTTTCTTGTGAGGATATTGTTTGTGACATCATCAAGTATAAATAGAATTTCTCGGAAAAAGATTTGTTTTTACTACAATATCTCTAATTATTTATTTATATTATTTAATGTGAAATGCTTCCAAAAATTTTTATATATATTATTTATACTTAATCATAACTGGAAATATCTACAAAAAAATTTTTAATTTTTACTTGTGGAAAAAAGAAATTTGCATTTCATGAAAAGCTTACAGCATTATTTTATTCCTAAAATGTTTAAGCGCGTTGTAAAATCCGTCATTTTGGGTTTGCATTAAAACTTATAATTTTTTTTAAAATAAAAATTTTAAAGCAAATGAAAAATAAAAGTGATAACTCTTATTATGAAAATGTTAGAATATTTAAAAAAAATTTTTCTTTCATTAAGATTTACAGTTTAAGTCCACAAATTAAATTATATATGTTTACTGCCTTAATGAAAGAAAAATATTTTTAGGTATATTAAAAAATTAAAATAAATTTCACTTATAAAAAAAAACGACACTTACAACGTTTGGAGCTATATTTATGGGATCTAGTTTTATCCATTCAATTGAATCTATGTCTGCAGTTACATTATCGGGTATATATCTGTATTCAGCTGTAAAACTACGTAACGGATAGCCGCCAGAATTTGATTTATTAAATCTCCAAATTAAAAACCCTAATATTGTTGAGGCCTTAAAATAAAGCTGTGAAACAGGTCCAGGTGTTGTCCTTACTGTTAAATTTAATGACAAAGATTTTGTATAAGAATTATTATTTAAGTCTAATTCGTCTAATGAGTTCACATAAATTTGTTCATCATTAAGTATATCTTCATTCGAATCAGAACTTAGACACATGTAAATACCGGTATCAGCTTTTGTAACATTTGTCAAAGAAAGTATAGAGCCATCCTGAAATTTAAATAAATTGTTTAATAAATCATTTTGTGAAAAATATCTCATTTGTTTTATATGGCATAAAGTTATATGTATAACAATATGTATAACAATAATTTTTTCACTAACTTAAAACTTGAGAAAAAATATAATTTTTTAAATAAAACAAACTTCCTCTTATGAAGATTACTAAAAGTTCAGAAAGATGTTTTTTGGTTTGCGGCGTTGGGTGTTGATTAAAATTTTAAATATATTAATTTATTACAAAAATATTTTTTAACGTACCTGAACAATGTCAAACTTTTTTCCATTCTGTTTAACCCACATTGTATTAGAACCGGTCGCTTTACATGAAATTGAAATATTTTTTCCTTTATCAGTTATATATTCGTTGTACTTAATTGTGGTGGTTGTTAAAACTGTTAACACTGCAATGTTAAAAAAAAGGTTTTATTTTAAGGGAGATTCATTTAACTTTATAATTTTGTTTTTGAAAATTATTTTATAATCAATCCCTATATGTAAATATTTTAATCTACGTAAATTTTACGTATACGACCTACATCATGGCTAGTATGAGAAGTAGTGTAGTACTCAAACGATTTTGAAATAGTAAACTCGTAATCTCTTAATTTAATAAGGATAATATTAGAATTGAAAACCAATTACTATTGAATATTGATTATTATTTCACTGCAATAAATCTATTATGTTAATATTCATGACGCTTTTTTATTAAAGCAAATTCCTTGAAGTCTTATTATTCTAAAAATATTTTAACTTATATATTTTTTTAATATATGTTATTGAGCTTTATTACAAAATTATTAATAATTTTCCTTTAAAAATTGAATTTTAAATATTTCTATAAATTTTTCCCCTATTTTTTTAGAATTCTACTAATTATTTCTTTAATTTTTTTCTATTACATCAACTTATTACACAATCCAAAAAATTAGTATCAAATACACAAACAAAGGTTATATAAGCACGTTTATGTAGCTAAAAATTCATCAAAATAAAAATATCCTTGCAAAATTATAGAAATAAAACACATTTTTTATGGTACTTTTTTAATAATGATATTTGGAAAATATAGAAGTAAAGGACGTTAGCAATTTTACTTTAAAAATTTAATAAATTTCAGCACAAAAACCATATTTTGTTGATAGAAAAAAAGGTAATTTTTTTTTAAAAACTTATATGAATTTTTTAAAAATATTGCGGGAACGAAAAATCGATTTAATTTTGCAAGTTTTTTTTATTTAAATTTCAAGCAAATATTTATCAAGATTTTGTTTCTTTCAATAATATTGAAATTCATTTTATTAATTGTAAAAAAAATACTAATTTACTTTAACGTATTATTTAATAGTCTTACCTTGAGTGAAAAATAATAGATTAAAAGAAGAAATAGAAACGACATTGGAAGACATTCTCCCATCATTAGAAATTTATTTTGTGATGAAAGGCTCGCATTTGCTATTTATTAAATACAATATTTCTACTCAAGTAAATACTAAAAATTAATATTAATAACTATAGTAAATAATTTTATACTTTACAAATTAATATTTTTTTTTAAATCAGATAACTATTAATTAATTTTCTCTTTTCCATATTATTGAACCGAATAGAAAACTGCTTTAATGGAATTAGAAATAAATTTGACACTTAAAACCTTAAACATGAAAAACTGTTAAGAGAAAGCTTTTTAGTTTTCCCAGTATGTACTAAAATTGAATAAATGTGAATTATGATTACAATCTAGTCATGTCAAGAAATGATTACACAATAATTATTGTGCTAAAATGGATATTTCAGATTTTTTCTGAAAGTTTTGGGTTTTTTATTTTTGGCTCAAAATAGTATAGTTGGCTTTCATCCTTTTTTTATGATCTATATTTAAATTTTCAAAGCAATCTCTTTACATATAATTGTTTGAAGAGAATACATAGTGGAAAATTTGGAGCCAATAAAATTAAGCTGTTTGTGCACATTAATATTTGTATTATAGTACGAGATTAGAAAAGATAAAAAAGAAAATTATGCGGTATGGCCGTTGAAATTGCAAGAGCTTACACAGGTTCAAATTGTATGCAAAATTAATTTTTCCATCGACGACTTTGCTTTACTAATGATCGCACGGCATATCCCAACAATGGTGAGCACACAATATTTTGTATCCTTATCCGATTTAAATTTTTTAAAATAGGTTAATAGCCCCAAGCTTTTTATGAGCCTTTTATTTTTAAGTGATTTATAGTGCTACGCCTTGGCAACCAAATGGCTAATATAAAAACGAAAAGTTATATTTTCCACATCATTCTTTTGTACTTACATAAATACATATGTATAAACCTGTATCATTATTGTCCTGTATAAATTTTATTTCTAAAAAATTTTATTTCAAAAAGCGTCTGGAAATTTAAATAATTATGTTATAACATATTATACATATGTTTTAGAAACTTTTATCTCAAAAATGGTAATTTTTCTTTATTATTATTTTATTAAACTCTAAGTTGGGGTTCGCTCTTGAAGCGAAAATTAAAATAAATTTAAATATTACTCAGTAGATAGCGCTGCAGGTTCGATGCGCGATGGCTTTATGCGAGTGTATGACATTTCTGTTTGTCAAATTATTTTCTTAATATATATGCATTATGTGATTTGAAAAGAAAGTTCCTTATAATTTTTTAGTTATTGAAATCATCTTTCACATTCTAATTATTCACATTATCCATATTCCAATTTCATATAACGTTCTTTCACGACACAAAAATTAAAAAATAACTCAGCTTGATTTGATTGAAACAAAAAATTGATTATTTTTGATAACGTCAAAGTATAACATTATCAAAAATAAATAAGTTTTAAATAAAGTATATTCCATAAATACAAAATACTAAAAAAATTAATAATAATTTTTAGTGAAAAAAAATTGTTCACAAAACACAGTTATTATTTTTTAATAAGATAATGGCGTTAGAATTTCATTGCGTCTCGTGAAGGACTTTTCTATTAAATGTGAATATTTGCTAATTATAATTGCTTTAAATTCGCTCTTTAAGTATGTTGTCAACATGGTGTTATAAATTGAAATTTGAAATATTAAAAATCAATCATACGCAACATCATGTAGCGAAATGATAATTTTTGTTTTGTCATCTCATTTTTGATCATTTTTGTTGTTTTAATAAAACCCTACAGATATAAAATAGAAAAAAATTTTATTTTTCTTAAATGAAATTAAAATTCTTTTATATTTTTAGGAAAATTTTTTATGCAAACAAAATCCTACAATTTAGTTCAATTGCCATAAAGTTTTTCTTAAAGGTAATTAAAATAATAATATTATAATTTCCACTTAGTCTTTTTTTGTAACTTTTAACTTTCGTTAAGTTTTTCTTTTATAAGGAATTACCCATATACGTATTTCTGTTTGACATGTGTCAAAAATTTGCTTTGACAAAACAAGTATCAAATAAACGTTCAATTGTAGTACTAACCCTGTAAAATATTTATATTGGTAAATAACACGTTTTAATCCGTCAGAAAATTATGTTATGTGCGTTGAAGTTGGTCTTACAAAATAAAAGTTTTTTTTAAAAAGTTTGTGTAAAAGACTTTAATGTATTTGAAATGGATTCTGAAAAAATTAAATTTCTGATAGCAGACACAACAGCATTTATCAATAATGTTAATCTTCATGTAATTATTAATACATATACATAAATTATTTGTGTAGGGATAATATATGGAAATTTTTTTTTCAGGAATATGCTGAAAATATTCTCACAGTACCCGATGTTATACAAGAAGTTAAAAATAAGAGACAATTGCGTCGTCTGGTAGTACTGCCATTCGATTTAATTGTTCGGGAGCCTAGTTCCGAAAATTTAAAACATGTTACAAATTTTGCTAAGAAAACAGGTGATTACATGAGCCTTTCAGCTATTGATATGAAAGTAATAGCATTGACATATGAACTTCACAAAGAGCATATAGGGGCGGACCATCTTCGTGGTGAACCAGTTGTATCTCAGATAATTGTGTCTAAAGAAAAGCCGGCAGAGTTTATAGACAACAAAAAGCTAGCAGGATTCCATGTTCCGAAGGCTGCGACAAATGATGAAGGAAATCTTGAGAACAAAAGTGACTCAGACTTTCAAGAAGGCTCCCAGAGTGCAACAAGAGAGGAAGTAGCTTTTGATGAATCGGAAGAAAACCTTGAGCATGATGATGTTAAAAGCAATAGCGAGGGGGAAAATGATGAAATAATTGATAGAAACAAATTTGAAGAAGAAGAGCAAAACCCAAAGAATTCTAATAGTGACGAAAATCATGTTGAAACAGAAAACGATAATTTATGCGAAAGTATGTTATTAAAAATGCAAGATGTTAGTTTGGATGATAAAATTGATAGTATCCTTGTTGCTATTAAGAATTCTGATGAGTCACAAAGTGAGGAGGATCTGTCTGCAGAAGATTCTGATGATGAATCTGATTGGATAACGCCTTCGAATATTAAAAATGTCAAGAAAGAGATTGAAGGAAATCTGGACGATGAAGTTCCGAAGGTAGCTTGCATGACGACAGATTACGCATTGCAAAACGTTCTTAAACAAATAAATTTGAATGTTTGTGCTTTAAATGGTAGGGTAATTAAACATTTGCGTACATATATATTGAGATGTTACGGTTGTTTTAAAACAACTAGTATAATGACAAAAATTTTTTGCCCAAAATGTGGAAATAAAACTTTAAAGAGAGTGGCGGTTAGTTTGGACGAGAATGGTAAACAAGTTGTAAGTGTTGAAAATATTTTCCATACGATCATTGGGTACGCATACATATTTCATAAATGTATATATTTTTAGATTCACATCAATACAAAACGGCCTTTAACTGCTAAGTATAAAAATCAAAGTTTGCCACGACCACGAGGTGGCAAACATTCCCGAAATCCGCTTGTTGTGGAAGATCAACCAATGCCAAAACAAATGCCATCCAGAGTAGCTAAAACTAAAACACAAGCTCTCGATGAAGATTACATTGCTGGCTATTCTCCTTTTGCAACCAGAGATTTAAGTTCAAAATCTGCACTTTTGAGAGCGAAAGGACACATTAAGGAGTGGGCAAGAAATAATTCTTTTGAAGAAGAAAGAAGAAAAAAATATTTCAATCGTTTAGTAAAATAGATATGCAATAAAATTAACTTTTGCAATAAAAAAACTTTTGTAATGGAATATAAGACTATTCGTTACGATATTCACACTTTTCAATATATTGTACAGTGAATATTCGATTTACAAAACTTTATTACGTTTCAAATTACTTTATTTAAAAAACGAAAATATTTATTAGCTTTGTTTGAAACAAAACGTTACATCACACTATTTCAAGGTTAGAAGTGCATTTGTTTAATATTTACTTAAGTCACATGCATCTCTGCACGCTTTAATATAAAAAAATATAATAGTAATCTGCCATCAAGCTACATGTAAGAATCCTACAATGTCTTTAATTATAACTAACATAAATATTCTTTGGATTTTTACCAATTTGCTTTGAGTTTGTAGTTTTTCGAATAAAATCAATTTTGGTATTGTTGGTATACAATTCAGCAATTATGACTCTTAAGCTGAATTGAGTTTTAATACCATATTATTGCAATTTTGAAGTTGGGTTATTTGATAACGTAATATGTATATACATCAATGACGCGATATGAATATAAAAATGCGTCAAAGTAAAATTTTGTGCTGCGATATATTTATGAGTACAACATGAACTGCTTTTGCCATAATTTGTAATCGTTAAATTAAATATATGCAGTTGGCGTGTAGCGTTATATTTAGTAAACATGGTAAGTGAATATGGTCTAATTTTTACCATAGGAAATTGAAATAGCGTTTGAAGCATGAAAATATTGAACTAAAAATCTTAAAATTGAATCTGCTAATTACCTGGTTAATAGGCTCGCGTAAAATTGAAAAATTTATTACCAATATATAAATTTATATATTATATGAATGTACATATGCATATCTAAACTTACGATAAAAAATTATACCAAATTCAGTTCGTAATTTTTTGTAAAAATGCCAGAGATTTTATATTTGTTCAATGATCTTCCATAACAAAAGGAATTTTTCGGACAATCCCTATTACTACACGTAATAAAATAAAGCATGTGAGAATAAACATTACTATAATACTTAATAATTAAGCAATACGTAATAATTATACGTAAGATTAATTTTCCTCAAAGTCATATAAAACAATGAATTTTGAACAAATGGCTCGCGATGCGCATTTTTTTTGCAATTCGTCTTAAATTTAATTTTGTTTTATTTCTCATTTTAAATGTACATATACATATACAATTTTTGAAATAATTTTTTGTAATATGTTGAATGTAATCTAAATAATGATTGTTGTTAAGAGCAGTAATTTCACCTGATGAAGGGAAAATTGCTACTTTACTACCCTATAAATATTATTTTATTCAATAATAACAGCGGTTTTCAAAGAAAATAAAAAGTGGGAAAATGAATTTATATGTTTTTGTGCATATGTATGTACTTATATTTAAAAATAGCTCTAAAATCATGCATTATGTAGGTACACACTTATTAATATTGAATAAAATAAATTTCAAATAATTTTTCAATTAGCTTTGGGATTTGGAAATTGAATACGTATAAGTGGCATATAAGTAGAAAATTTTCGAAATTTTTATTTATTTCTTAGGCAAAAACAAAACATTTATTAAAAATATTTAGCAGTAATTAATTTTATAAAAATGATAAAAAATTGTATTCCATTAAAAAATATGCAGTAGTTTTTCTTTAATTGTATATAAATTTAGACGTTATCTAAAACTCTTTATAAAGTTATTACTATTCAGGTATTGATATATTTTACGATATTGCATACAAATAGGTAGTACTTGTAATGTAAATATAAAACTAGTAAAATTCTTGTTCAAGCAACACTGTTCTAAGTCCACTGAAAAATTCTACTTAAAAGAAAACAGAATGCAAAAAATGCAAAATTCTTTTGGTCGCTTTATTATTTTACCGAAAGAGTTCCGCCACAGAGAAAAAACCTATTTAGAAAATTTGACATTTAGGGATTTTTGTCTATTTTTGTGTTATTCAAGTTTTGTTATTCAATTAAACGAACAGCAGATTTTACCATTTTTCATCTTGACTAGCCAACTGAAATTAAGTTAAATAAACAATTTGAATAAAGTAGATTGCGAATATTTTACATACAATAAATGGCGAAAATTTAAATATTTTATACAACATAATATTTCTAATAAAAAAAAATTTTAAATTTTCGAATGCCATTCCAAATTAAATATACATATTTTTATATTTTTATTATAAATATAATATCTTAGTATTAGACAGAACAACTTTTATTTTCTTATTTTTTGTTTTCTTTAACAATTAAAAAAGTTTTCCAACTGATATGAGAGAATTATTCAGTTTGCTTAGAAAGCGTGAGTAAAATTGTATCACAAGAACACAATAATAATTTTTGTATTAAAATGTTGGATTACGCCTTTTAAATTTAATTCGTGTATTATTTTATTAGAGTCTTCCTGCATTTTGATCATTAAAATGATGAAGATCTTTTATTTTGTGTAATGTACAATATAATTTAATTTTTGATAGTTAAATAATCAAAAATTATTTTCAATTGTAAATTTTATATATATACATACATATATTTTATAAAAAAAAAAAAAAAGATTTTTTTTTTTTGTGTGTTAGAAAGAATAAAATTTAAAATTAAATTTCAAAATTTAAAAATAAATTTATGTGGGATTTTATTTTATGTACTTATGATATTTATCTACAAATATAATATTTATGTATGTTTATACGGTAAATAAGTAAAATAACCAATTTTAGAATTTATTAATAAAAATAGTATAAAAGTTATAAAATTAATTAAAAAAACAAAATAATAGTTTTAAAAAATTTAATTTAGTAAATAAAAGAACAAAAATTTATGATTGTTTTTAATTACAAAATTTTTAGTGATTTGTGTTTTATATTTATGTATGTATGTAGATAAGTTTGCTAAAAGAATAATAATTGAATTGAAGTAAACGGTAATTAAGTGGAAGAGATCAATTAAAAAATTTATACGAAAAGTAAAAAGTATAATATTTAAGAGTATTTTTATTACCAAAGAATAATATTAATATGTTATGTGTATATATGTATAACTATATAATTAAATAATATTGTGTTATACATTATTTTCTATGATAAAATTGAATAAATAAGGTGTTCTTATAAAATTGTGATTTAAATTAACTTGAAAAAAAAAGGTGGTGAATTATTGGAATAACGTTATTGACAATATGGTAAATAATTTTTGTTTTTTTCTAATATTCTAAATGTTATATATGTACATATATTGTAGTAAATTCACAATAGTAATATTATGTATTTATAAAAATACTTGATATGAAGATCAACCAAAATGAATTTTTGTGTAGGATTTTTTGTTTTTTTTAGAAAGGTCAAAGATATTATCTTTGATAAATAACAGTTCTTTCAATGATAATATTCAAATAAAAACTATAATAATATTATTTAGTTTATTTAAAAAGAATTTCGATTCGAATTTTTGAATTTGCATTATTTGTCTAAATGACAAAAATTTTTTTAAAGCATTTCGATGAAAAAAAATTACCTACAATTTTTACTAAAAACCATATTTTTTTCAAAATTTTTTGTACCTGCATTTATAAGACAACAATTTGCAGATAGAGTATGTGGCTTATGAAGATGAGCATAATGATTAATTAACGGACAGGAAAAATATTTTGCACTATAAGTTTAAATAAAGAGAACAGGCCTTTTTTTATTTGTAACAATTTGCTAAAAATGATAGAACATTAAAATATTTAATAGTTGAGCCCTGAAAATTAAGGAAACCTCTTTTACGAGTTAAAAAAAAATATGTATGTACATATATGTATATGTTTTAAAAAAAATGTATCCCAAAAAAATTTACCTCTCACAAAAAGGACAAAATCAAATGTGGTACAAAAATTTGCCGCAAAACAAATCGAATTGAAAAAGATTCTTCCAAGCTTTCAAAAGTCACCAAAGAAAAATATCGAAATTTGTTAATATGCCAAAATAGTAACCCTGCTTTAAAATTAAAGTATATAATTTTTTTTTGTTGAATTCACCATTCTGGTGTTCATGTTCTCACTTTTGTTTCTGCAAATTTGGCAGAATATAAAATTTGAAAGCATTGGAATTCATGAAATCGAATGCTAAATTTTGCTCTAATTATCTTAATAAAATAATTCTAAAACAATTGTCCTGTGAGTGTTTTTGTTCCACCGAGAACTATTATTTAATTTTTTGATAAGTTGCTTTAATTTTAACATACATATACTTTGAGATTGTCAAAAAACTATTCAGTTACTTTAAATAGAGTTATCAAATCACCTCCGAGGCTTATTTTGTATCAAAAATTAACTGTTATATTCATTTATTTGTCTCGTGAAGATAACGAACCTATTACTGAAAAATAAATCAGCTATCTATGTTTGATGACAATTTTTAAATACATGCGCTTTGATAAATTAATAAAAATTATAATAATTAATTTTTATTTTATAAACAATGAAACAAAATTTTAAATTAATTTGTACTATAAAATATCAATCGCAATCCAATAATATTTTAATGAAATATGTTTGTACATACTTACATATCCAAATTAAATATTAGTTTCATTAAAATCATATTTTTTCTTCTTTATTTGTTGACTTTTTTATTTAACCTAAACAGACCCCATTTAATTGAATTTAGCGACAAAGTATAATTGATCGAAGAAAACATGTTGAAAAATTTATTTTACAGAATATTTTTATGAATATTGTTTCAATTAGAAAGAAGATGTTGTTTTTTTACTGTGGCGTTTAGTGTTTTCTTTTTTTTTACGCAAAAAATATATATTATGTCATAATAATTTTTTGTATAAATATACATATGTGTATATATGTGCACGTGCCATATAAGACTTATGTACCTATATTATGTGGTTTCTTATTTGAATCTCTTTCTATAGATAAATTTAGAATATTCTTTTGAAATTATAAAAAAGCAGAAGACATACATATATACTTATGTACATTAACATGTGTATACATATATGTATATATATATATATATATATATATATATAAATTATGAGATGTGTTTAATTATGTTTTT